AGGATCGTGAAATTTCGACGAAAACCTTCTTGGTCACTACCATACTCGACAACAGTGTATGCTTCCCTTCTATTATAATTGAAGATCGAAGTTATCCCTCGAGGATCTATCCTGACCCATGACAGTGATGGGTCTTCGATTGTGTTGACCAAATGGACACCTTCATCGGTTGCACTTGTCTCTTCAATGTCAATATGCTCGGATGACTCGGGGGGTTTCGGCCATTTCACCTATAAAATAGAGGAAACAAGTGAATTCGACAGCTAAATCAAATCCACCTTTCCACTGCGACACATGTGAAAGGGGATAGCTAAGCCCGGACCAGGTCGACGATCACTTGTGCAGTGGGAAACATACACGACTCACGAGCAATAGGGTGCTAATACGCGCCTCGTACGACCGCACGGTTGTGATAAAGACAAAACGAATGTTCATGAGTAACGCGGGAATGGGATAAATCTCACGAACATATCCATGCGAGGAATATATGAATTTTGCAGAAAAATTCGTGAATCCACCATGGAGTAGATGAATATCCCAGGAAAATTCACGAATTTTGCAGGGAGCATATGAATATCCCGAGAAATTTCATGAATTTATCGGGGAACAAGTGAATTCTGCGGGCCCACTCGCAAATATTACGAATAAATGTATGAACACCCCGAGTGAAACCCCTCCCCCTGATAGAGAAATTCATCAAAAAGCCAATCGTAAACAATAATCAGTATTAAAAAAACACTTACTTGATCGGAGTAGGTGGGAAGTCCTTGGCGGATCTTGCGGCGATGTTAACGGTTGGGAAAGATAGTGAAACAATGTAGAACCAAACGCGACAGAGATAATGGAGAGAGCGGGAATTGGAACAAGACAAATGATCCTTGAGGCTCTATTTATAGGGCTGACGTGGAATATGAAGCGTCGCGTCAGACAACACACAAAACGCCCTTCTCCTCGACGCCTACGTGCTCAGGTCATAATGGCCCCTACTCCCTAGGCCATCATTTTTGTCCCAAAAGCGACGCCACGTAGCTACCTACCATGAACTTTCTTCTCTCCGCGAGTCAAGGAAGAACTGAAATGTTCCCCATCAAGCCAATTCCAACCGCTTCTCAAGAAACCACGCATACCGACGACCCTCTCCTTCGACGTAGTAAAAGATCCTCAGCTAAATTATGCTCGCCATAAGAAGAAGTTGGATTTAAGTCATAACTCCTTTACCAGGAGCAACGACTTGGGGGACTCCTATTTTGAATTGGGAATTCACTTGGCCCAAACATCATATATGGCCCAATCTGAATGTGCTACATGGGATGGCCTGCTAACGACGACTGCCATTGACTAGCTCGGGAAGTAACCTTGTTCTTATGATCGACATGGTATTTCCTTACAGGGGAAACCCCGGGAATGGCGAGGAGGGCCGATGATGATCAAGAGGACCTCGCAAGCATGCCCACTCTTCTTGTCGACCAAGACAAGTCCTCCAGGGACAACTACACAGCTGGAAGGAAGGGTCCACGACGGACAGAGGTACCTCATGAGCATCCTCCTCATAGGGTTGACCTTCAACACCTCTGAATATCACGGAGTTCTCTCGGTCCTGAAAAGACCACATCCATATCTTCCTGATAGTTCGGAGGTGTCCATCCAGGTTAGGGACCACGTGTTGGCCCTTACTATGCACGTAGGATCTGGCAGTCTCCATTTTTGTGCCTGCTTGCCCAACCCAACGATGGGGATCTTGGCCCAGCGCTGGGGGCTATAAATAGCCTCTCACTTGAGAGGGTCAGGTATTCATTTTTTCATACTCACTCTCATACTTACTTGCATTGCTCTGAACCTCACTTTAGCATCGGAGTGTCTTGTAGGTACCCCCTCTCCCACTTCACATCCAACCATTGATCGGCTCGAAACTTGTGGGCTTTGACAATCCCTTCTGATCAGCTACGATCAATTGTGAAGGCAAAGGATGTGGGTTCAACACCCACCCCTGGCATTTTTTCTATTTATTTGTTTCTAACCTTCTTTGTCATTGATTTTCCTTCCCTAATCCTATTTTTTGGCTAACCCTAATACTTTTTTAACCTAAATAATTTTTAAATAACCTAAAAATAAACCTCTTGTAAAAAACTCTAATTAATTAGATCTTTAGTTTTTTAATTAATCTTTTAATAATTTAATTAATTGACTTTTTTTTTCAATTTTAAAATTAATTAGACTTTTAGGTTTTATTTAATTAGTTGTCATCATAAATCATTTTTCTTCACAAAAACCCTAACAAACATTCAAACCACTTTTGTTCCTTATTTCTTTTGCTTTCATTTGTATTTACATTTCCTCGATCAAGTGTATAGGGCGTGTTCAACTGTAATAGCGTAGCTTTATATTTTTCACACTTTTTCTATTATGTATCTTCTTCCGGAATATAATAGTTTTAGGGTTTATTTTCGCACTCTCTATACTTATTTAACTCCCCCAAAGCTCTTTAATAGTTTTAAGTTTATATTCCGGATTTTATATCCCGTATTATATTTTTATGATACATCTGGTAATTAGGGTTTGTATGACAAGACTAAAACAAACCGATAACATAACCCTAAATACAAGATAAAATAACTGAATTGAATCACTATTCACACATGCACTTTTAGGGTAATCTCTCTTCGTTGCCTTCTAGAACATGGTCATGTCCCTAAAAAATAGGGATACTTTAGCAAAGTCCCTTCGAATAAAGATCATAGTCCCTCGATGACCCTTCGATGTTGCCTACGAACAGATGATCTAGTCCCTCCGATAATTGCTAAAGTATCCTTATCTGTTGCATTCGATGACCATACGCTGACCCTCGATTGTCCCTCTCGCATCCAATAGATGGGGCTATCTACCATCTAATGGTACGGATAGTACTACCTCTAATGGAGAAGGAAAATTATAAGAACATCCTTGAGTGGGTAAGACTATTAATCGCTTGCTCACAACTTTTCTAAAAAACTTTTTTCCCACATCACTTTCAAAAATATTTTCTAAAACACTTTGTACGCGTTCTTGAGGACCGATACAAGAACCATTACAAAATTATTTTTACTTTGGCTTTTCGAAATATTTTTAAAACACTTACACAAAAAAGCAATTTTCAAAAGTGAGGTAGTGATTAAGAGCCCATAGATAACTACAGATGAAAAGGGTGCTAATATCTTCCCTTTTCATATCTTATCTCCCAAACTCAAAATCTTCAAGGTATTTCCTGTTCTTTTCACCCTTTATTTATTGGATAAAAGAAAAGTCGGTAGCGATTCTTGTTATCCACACATTTGGATAAAACCAAAAAAATCAATTCTCTCATCGTATTACACTAACTCACTTGGTTTACCTCTCAGCTTGGTGTTAATATCCTCACATATTAATTTATAAGAAGTTGAAGGAGTCTCAACTAACTCTTAGTTTGTTTTAGATGTTTCTATTTTAAAATTTTGGTTTGTTTAAATGAGTTAGCTTTAGATAATTAGTTTGTTATGTCAATTGGATTTTAGTAGTTAATTAATATCACTTATTAATAAATAAAGTTCATGTATGGTTTCTTGGTAATTAATTAATATCTCTCAGTAATGTTTAATCATATTCCATTTTCTAGATTTGATAGTTATGTATAATGTATGGCTTCTCAGTTGATTTCAATCAAATTATACTAAATCTAGAGATTCCTTTTCTTATTATAAAAAATGAAGTTTCGTTGTTCTTACCTTGTTTCTTATCTTTCAATTTATTGAGCTGAAAATCATTTAACTTATTCAAATGCTTCTGAAACTTTACTTCATGATAAGAATTCATTTCTAATACTAAATTAAATCCCTTTTGCTTACGAGGTTACATCTGTCTATATTTTATTTGAAATCTTCGTGAAAGCTTCTAATTTGAAACAAATGGAGTTTCATGATCAAAAGTTGATTTATATATTTCTTGACAAATTGGATAGAAAATAGTCAAATGAGTATCTGAATTTAGATTTCATTCAAACCAGTACCATGAGATATAAATTATATATAGTAGACACTCATGTTCTAATAAGAACTTGACAATGTTTAGGTTTAACTTTGCTTATTGCAAAGCCTTGAAATTTTGTGTGAGCTTGGTGGTAGTGTATCATAGTTTTCCTTTCTCCTTCTCGTCATTCTCTTTTGAATTTTGAACTTATGTTGCTCCTTTGATTCACATAATAAGTAGGTTGCTTATTATTTTATTCTTTTGCTCTTGTATTTGTCCTCCATTTTCAATCAGTTCTATACGTAAATCTAGCAAGGAAACCATCACTTTTGCCAAGTCGTAGAAGTAAAGAAATGATAAACCAAGCGAATATCATGTTGTCTGATTGTTTAAGGTTTGTTATGACCTGCTAGAAATTTCAAGTTTGCAATAGTATCATGAGTTATGGACAATATGATAAATCTTTTGGTTCTAGAATTTCCTACAAATTAGCTACGATTTTAGCAACGGATTAGCTACGATTTTTATGGGCACACTTATGTTCTTAGTCTTAGCCACTTGGCATGCCACGTCAACATCTTTGACAGCTGGCACTGCCACGGGTTATGTCACATCAGCTTTTGTTAACGAACGTTGATAGGAAGGGTCAAAAGTGTGGATGAAAAATTTTAGAAAGACTATTCTTTGAAGAAAATATTTAGAAAGACTAAAAATGAAATTGACAATATTTAGAGGGACCAAAAACATATTTAACCCAACTTTTTTTTTATAAAAAAATAGTTTAACTCAATGAACTAATTAGCTAAATTTCTATTCAAGAATCATCATGTATATGTTCCCTGCCAAACTAATGTTGATTATAAAAAAAATCTGAATGGAGAAAAAGGAAGTATTCAAGTAGCTAGTATATAGAGACATGAAATGAGTGTTCTAGGAGAAGGAAAATAGAGTGTCTCTTTTATATGCTTTTAAAAGAATGCATGCAAGCTTATAATAAACTGAACTAAAGTATCTTTTCATATTCATGCCAACTCTGGTCCACTGGGAAGCTGCTCGTAGCCATCGTGATGCGTAGCGACGTAATTTTTGACAGGAACAGGAATGCACTTTAGGACAACAGCTACCAGTAAACTTACTGCACCAATCATCACACTTATGAGCCATAAGTCACTACTGAGTGGCACTGTTTGAGCAAAAGCACCAAGAAATTCAACTATTATGATTTGAAAGCATATTGTTGCGGCCATTACTATCAGAAATATCCAGCTGCTCAATAGGCCTTCCAAAACATTTATCTTTTCCATGTCGCGGCTGTTTACCTCGTTGAATACCTGTTTATTTCATAGATGGAATCGGAAAATGTGTTAAATAATGACACAGGTTGGAAAATGTTTTCACAGAATAAACTACTTGTTAAACGTGTTTTTAAGTAATGAAATACCTGGCAAAACACAAAGGTGTTGAATATGAATGTATTTAGAGTAATGGTAGCATTGGGTCCGTTGAGGTTAAGAATCTGTTCCCCGCGAAATTTAAGAACCAAAAGGACTATAGTTTGATAGAGACTCTGACCAATGATGTTCCTCCACATGACCCCCGTGATGAACTTGGCATTCCTTCCAATAGGTGGTCTCTTCATCAATCCATCATGGGGAGGTTCTGTAGCCAATGCCAATGCACCTAGTGTGTCCATTATCATGTTTACCCATAGCATTTGAACAGCAGTAAGAGGAGCAGAACCTGTGATTCATTTTCTATTGTGATTATAATCATATTCGAATTTTTTTTTATGCTTCAGGTGAATTATATTAATATGTACTACCTGATACACAAGCTGAAACAAAATTCAGCATGAGAGCTACGACATTAACTGTTAACTGGAACTGGACAAACTTTTGTATGTTAATATAAACAGAACGGCCCCATCTCGTAACGTTCACTATTGTAGTAAAGTTATCATCCATCACAATCACATCTGCATTTTCTTTTGCTACCTGCACAAGATCAAGGTTAATATTTTTCAACTTATACAACATATTTTGCTTGTGCCTAGCATTTTGATCCAAGATTTGTTACATGTCTTATACGTGTCCCTCATATATTTCCATACATTCTATCAATTCTTAAGCATGTGACAAACCTCTGTGCCAGCAATACCCATGGCAAATCCAATATCAGCTTCGTGCAAAGCTGGAGCATCATTGGTCCCATCACCAGTTACTGCCACAACTTCATTAAAGTCCTTCCTCAAATGAGTCACTAAGGTGTGCTTATCAAGAGGCAAAGATCGAGCCATTACCTACACACACGCATGCGCATTAACCAACCGTTAAACTAGAATAAAAATATATATTCTAGTCCTAAGATAAAAAATAAAAAATAAAAATATACAATTTATTACAACCTGCAATTTAGGTATAATCTCTTCCATTTCTTGCTGAGTCTTGTTTCTGAAATCTGGTCCCTCTATGGCCAAACCATCTGTCAAAATACCACATTCTCTAGCTATAGCTTTAGCAGTGTTTATATTATCACCAGTTACCATTCTTACAATGATTCCAGCTGCCAAACAAGTCTTAACAGCTTCTTTTACTCCAGGTCTCACTGGATCCTTGATTCCAATTATTGAAATTAGAGTATATTTATCCTCAGGAATACTGCTATCACTTTCAGTGGTTCCTTCCATATCCTTAAAAGCTATGCATAGTGTTCTCAGTGCATCACAAGCAAAACCATTAATAGCCTCATTGATTTTATTTCTCAGTTGTTCATTCAAATCAACAACTTTTCCTTCTGCATTAACAACTTTGTCACACATTCTAACCACTATTTCTGATGCTCCTTTACAAAATGCTCTAGTTTTGTTGGTGCTATCGGGAAGAGAAACAAGAACTGACATCTTTTTTCGGTTTGAATTGAAAGGTTCAACTTTCATTATCTTATACTTGTCATTGTAAAACTTAGTATCACCTCCTAAAGTCAAACCAAATCCAAGCAATGCTGATTCTGTTGGAGTTCCCATCACCTTGTTCTTTCCATCTTCACCTTTAACAACCTCTGAGGCAGTATTCTGAAATATTGACTGCAAAAGTAGATCAAATATCTCCACAGGAATTGATTTCTTCAACACACCATCATCGAAATTTCCGGTTTTAATTGCCTTAGTTTGTTCACAAATCCATATTTTGTCAACGACCATTTGATTTGTAGTCAAAGTTCCAGTTTTATCAGTGCAAATGCAACCAGCAGAACCCATTGTTTCACATGCAGATAAGTGCCTAACTAGTGCCTTATCATTCATCAGTTTCTTCATTGCAAATGCAAGACTTAGTGTAACTGCTAAAGGTAACCCTTCAGGAACTGCCACAACTATTATAATAACAGCAGTAGCAAAGAAACTGAGAAGCTTAGATGCATCATCTAGAGACCATTTAGTGATGCTATCATGAGATATTTTCACCAACAAAAACCTACCAGTTAGAACTAAGAATGTTACCAATGCAAAACCTAACCCTATCTTTCCAATAAGTGTAGCAACACCATTTAGTTTAACCTGAAGAGGTGTTTCATCATCACCACCTTCATTCAAAGTGTCCATCAATCTTCCCCATTCCGTCTTCATACCAACCGCAGTCACTAGCATCTTGGCAGAACCATCTTGAACTGTGGTTCCACATAAAAGAAAAGGCTTTTGTTTGTCAGCATTCACTGCTTCACTCTCGCCCGACAAACTTGATTCATCGATCAATAGACTAAAACCAGATATAAATAATCCATCAGCAGGAACTATGTCTCCGATTGCGAGATGAACTATATCTCCAACCACTAGTTCATGAATAGAAACCTTCTGTCTTCTACTATCTCTTGTAATATGAATGCTTACATTTTTTTTCTCTTTATCCAAATCCTTAAATTGCAAAGACTGTTTATAGTCACTTAATGAAGTGACAAAAACAACTAAAAAAATGCATAGTATGATTCCAACTCCGTCATACATACCTTTAGGCAAACCTTGGGTTAAGATTCCAACACCGATTGAAAGAATGGAACATAGAATAAGGATAATCAGTGTTAAGTCTTGCATTGCATCCCAAACAAACATCCAGAAACTTCTTGAAGGTTTCTCAGTATGGCGGTTATGACCATAGATATGTTGTCTATGTTTTACATCGCTGGAACTCACGCCTTCTTGAAACTTAACGCGTACAGCTTTTGCTAATCCTTCAACTCCTTCATGATGTTCTAAACATTTGGTGTCATGGGATCTGACAATGGATGCTAATTCGTCCGGGTTGATTCCAAAACCTGCATCTTGAATCTCTTTGGAGAGCATGTAATTACCAGTTTTTCGGGTTCCAGCTGAATGTGAGTGAGAAAGAAGGAAAAGAAAAGTGTAACAGAAGAGAAGAGAAGAAAAGAGTTATAAAAAAAGTGAAATGAAAGGTATTGAATGTAGTTTACCGGTTATAAAATGCAATGCTGCTTTTTGCACACAGAGTGCCACTCGTATCTTTTCCTGGTCAAGATAGTTAGAGCATATGCAAAGTGTGTTAGGGTAACAGATAATAAATGCATGTCATGCAACGTTTTGAAAACTGTATATAAATAACCTCGTACCATTCCAAAAATGTATCATGTATGCTTTTTATTTTTTATAGAAAAATATGCATAATTCAATTCCACATTTGTCTAAATATAAGTTACTACTTTTTATAGAAATTTTGTTTTTGGAAAAAATTAACTTAGTTGTATTGTAATGCTTTTATTATAAGAGTATTAATGTGTTGCGATAAGAACTTGTTAAATGAGTTGACCCGAAATTTAATAATGCTGAGTTATAATAGACAGCAGTTTTTTTGCTACAAATATCTAATGACTGTAACATCTATTGCTACTCTATTGTCTTCGGTTTGACTTTTGTGTTTAAAGCATCAAGTTAGTTTAGATCAAAACTCAGATTCAGATTGATGCATGGTATATGAAGGAGTAAATTTTGGAGTTTTGTTATATCACGATGCTCTATAGTGCAAAAAAGCAAATTATATTTGACATCAACATCGATCATGTGACAAAAGCAAAGGAAAAACACACTTTAAATGAAACATGATATGGTGATAACATAACAGTTCTATCGTTTAATTTCAATTAATGGTGGGTTGCTCATGTCATGGACATGTAACTGTTGGTGGTATTTTAGAGGTGGTATGTGAAAAATTATAGTGTTGCAGAATTCTGCAGAGAAAACTATTTTTCGTCACTTTTTGTATTATACTTCTACTGGTGGATGACCATTGAAAAACTCTGTCTTTTTTTTTTAATTCACCAAACACTTCTTACTATTAATCTTAGCATTACAAAGCCTTTATATAGGCTTGAATGAAACTGTTAGAGAATACAAATAGGTTGCTAATCAAGATGAGGACTCTTTGGTTCTCTCAATTTTAATGATACAACTCTACCATAAACCTAAATAAAGACAATCATTATAATGTGATGGTTACAATTCTTTCATAATGCTTCCTAAAGATAGTGGTGGTTACAACACATTAATTTTAACACTCCCCCTTAATGTGTTGCTCTTTAACTCCCATTGCTTCTCTAAGTTGCTGAAATCTTCCTCTTGGTAGTGCTTTAGTAAAAAATATCGGCAAGCTGCTCTTGTGAATTGCAGAACACTAACTGCACATCAACATCTTCAATCACACTTTGAATGAAGTGGTGCTTTATATTAATATGTCTTGTTCGATTGTGAAAAACTGGATTCTTCGCCATGGCTATTGCTAATTTATTGTCACAGTGAAGCAGCAGACTTTCTTCTTGCTTTTCTCCGATATCTTTAAGTATTCTTCTCAACCACAATGATTGTTGTGTAGCCAAACCAGCTGTCAAATATTCTGCTTCAGCTGAAGATTGCGCTACAGTATCTTGTTTCTTCGAACACCAAGAAATTACTCCTAAACCCAGACTGAACACATAACCGGAAGTGCTTTTCATGTCATCAACACTTCCAGCCCAATCACTGTCACAGTAGCCTTTAACTTCGAGTTTAAAATTCTTTTCAAACCTGATTCCATGTTCCATGGTTCCCATGACATACCTTAGAACTCTTTTTGCTGCTCCAAGGTGTAAGTGACTCGGTTTACTCATAAACCTTGAGAGTAAACTAGCAGCAAACATTAAATCGGGCCTTGAAGCTGTAAGATAAAACAAGCTTCCAACCAAACTTCTATACATACTTGCATCTACTAATCTTCCACCATCTTCCTTCTTTAATTTTTCATTCACCAATAAAGGAATATCAACAGGTTTGCAGCCATTCATGCCAAACTTTTTCAAAATATTTTCAGCATATCTCTTTTGACAAATAAAAACTCCATATTCATCTTGGTAAACCTCAATACCAAGAAAATAATGCAGCAAGCCAAGATCACTCATCTCATATTTTTTCATCATTTCTATTTTAAAATTTTCAACCATTTTCTTGTTGTTACCCGTATACACCAAATCATCAACATAAAGGGCAACAAGAAGGATATCATCTTTACCTTGATGCTTCACATACAAGGTATGCTCACTTTAACTTCTTTCAAATCCTTGTTGAATGAAGTAGCTGTCAAATTCACTATACCATGCTCTCGGGGCTTGTTTCAACCTATAGAGAGTTTTCTTCAACTTGTAAACTTTTTCCTCTTGGCCTTTAGTCACAAAGCCTTGAGGTTGCTGCACATATACCTCTTCTTTTAATTCTCCATTCAGGAAAGCTGACTTCACATCAAGTTGGTACAGGTTCCACCCTTTCTGAGCTGCTAATGCAATAATTGTTCGTACAGTATCCAATCTTGCAACTGGGGCAAAAGTTTCACTATAGTCAATTCCAGGTTGTTGTGCATAGCCTTTTACTACCAATCTAGCCTTGGCTCTTTGAATTGACCCATCTGGATTATGCTTCAATTTGTACACCCACTTTACTCCAATAGCTTCTTTGTCATTTGGCTTTTCAACTAACTGCCATGTTTTGTTTTTCTCAATGGCATTTATTTCTTCTTGCATCGCATTCCTCCAAGCATCTTCTTTGATTGCTTCATCAAAATTTTCTGGTTCCACAACACAATAGTTGCATCTTGCATAAATATCACTCAAGTCCTTCAATTTTATTGGAGTTGAGCTGGGAGATGATGAACTTGAAATTTGTGAACTTGGAGAGGATGAGGAACTTGGTGTACATGGAGCTGGTTGCTCATTATCAGCTGTTGGGTTTTGTTGTTGTAATATGATTGCAGGGACTGTTTTCTCCTTCGTTTTGTCTTCTTCCCAATTCCAAGAAGCGTTCTCATCAAATACAACATCCCGGCTAATGATCACCTTGTTTGTCTTCAAGTTGTAAAGTCTATAGCCCTTTGACATGGAACTATAGCCAATAAAGACACATATTTCACTTGTTTCTTCTAGCTTTGTCCTCTTTTGTTTAGGAATTTGAGCATAGCAAACACACCCAAAAATTTTAAGATGGTTCACCGACGGTGTTCTTCCACTCCAGGCTTCAAATGGAGTCTTTTTCCACACGGCCTTTGTTGGACACCTGTTCATCAAATACACAACAGTGTTAACGGCCTCGGGCCAAAAGGTTTTAGGAAAACTTTTCTCAAGTAGCATAGACTTCGCCATCTCCATCACGGTTTGGTTCTTTCTTTCAAATACACCATTTTGCTGAGGTGTATATCCAACAGTGAGCTGTCTTTCAACACCTTCATCTTCACAAAATTTATGAAATTCATTTGAGGTGTACTCCTTCCCTCGATCACTTCTCAGCATCTTTATAAATCTGCCACTTTGTTTTTCGGTTAATGCTTTAAATTTCTTAAAGATTACAAACGCTTTCAGATTTTTGTCTCATGAAATATACCCAAGTCATGCGGGTAAAGTCGTCAATAAACAAGATAAAGTACCTATTTTTGCCATGAGACAAAGTATTCATAGGGCCACACACATCTGTGTGTACAAGTTCCAACACTTTTTTAGCTCTCCATGCACCTTCCTTTGGAAATGGTTATCGGTGGTGTTTGCCAAGCACACAACCTTCGCACACACCATATTTTTCTTTGATTCTTGGCAGCCCATACACCATCTTTTTTTGATAGAGTAACTTGAGGCTTTCGTAATTCAAATGCCCAAGTCTCATGTGCCATAAACACGAGTCATTCTCTTCTCTGGCCATCATGCTTACATTTTTCTCATAGTTAAAAGATAGTGGAAAGCTCCTGTTGCTAGTCATCTTCACAATGACAACACTTCTTCTTTCTGAGTCAAAAATTCTGCACTCGTTATTCTCAAAGTTTAGAGAATAGCCGTGCTCCAGAAGTTGTCCAATGCTAAGCAAATTTTAGTCTAATTCTGGTACATAGAGCGTGTCATGTATGACTTTGCTTCCTTGCTTTGTGGTGACTCCAATGCTTCCTTTCCCTTTCACTACGACATGTTCTCCATTGCCCAATTTAACTTTTGAGCCAAATGAAGAATCAATGTTTATAAATGCTTCCTTCTGTCCGGTCATATGGTTGCTACAGCCGCTGTCCAAATACCATACATTTTTACCTTCTTCATGCAATGCTTTTTGACAAGCAAAAAATAAATTTCCTTCATCAGATTCTCCTTCTGCGTACGAAGCATGTTGTTGATTTGCAAGACGACAATCCTTTTGAAAGTGCCCGAATCTCTTGCAATTGTGGCATTGCGGTTTACCTTTGTTCCAATAATCCTTCTCGTCATGAGTACCGCTGTTACAAATTTTACACCATTTATTTGATGCTCCATTCCATCTTCCGCCATTTGCGCTTCTTCCAGATCTGCCACGTGAGTTTCGACCTCTGCCTCTGCCTCTTCCAAATCTGCCACCTCTAGAAGACTCACCTCTAGTTTGTATTTGGGACTTATTTTCACCATTGTTGGGCTGAATGTTGAGTTTAGATTGAAAGGCACTCTCGATTGATTTTTCAGAATGTCGTAATATCCTTTGCTCGTAGGATCTCAAAGACCCCATCAACCCTTGAACAGTCAAGGTTGATAGATCCTTGGTTTCTTCTATTACCCCCACCATTGGGTCAAATCTTGTTGTCAAACTGATCAGAATTTTGTTAACAATTATGCGATCTTCTATCGTATCACCATGTGACTTCATCTGATTCACCAACTCGGAGAGTCTGTTGAAGTATTCGTTCAGGCTCTCGTTCTCCTTCATCCTTTCATTTTCATAATCTCTCTTAAGAGATTGAAGCTTCACCGTTCGCACCTTTGAGTCTCCTTCGAACTCTTGTTGTAGGATACTCCAGGCTTCTTTCGATGTTTTAGCTCTCATAACCCTTTGGAAGATGGATAGAGAGACCCCTCTTTGAATCATCCCGAGAACTCCAGCATATGTGATCTTCTTCTTCTTCAATTCTTCAAGCCGTTGGCTTGATTCTTCAGCCTTTTCTTTTGATTTTTCAGCCTCTGTCACCGCCGGTTCTTCATAGCCGTTTT